CCCCCCCCCCCGCCTTGCCATACTCCAGAGAAAAATGGTTGGCAGAAGATATTTACTAACACACCCAATACCCAAAATCTTAGACCAATGAACTTTTATATGAAGGAGGACACTATCGAGAAGGGCATTAATTGACGCGCCACCACCGCAAAACCCAACTAATTAAAGAACAGAATCAAAGAAATTATTGGGGATTTGCAAAAAAAGAAAGAGTGTAGAATCGGCGTACACCAAGTTCCGGGGGGGGGGGAGGAGGTGGGGCGAATTGAGGTTGCGATAGACACTAATGACGACAATATATTGTGTGCAACTCTCTTTGACAATAAAGTAATTACTTTGTCTACAGCACTTCAAAATCTATTAACTTCCGCAGTCATCCACCACCACATTTTCTTTTTTCTCTTACGGGACTGCCAAATTTATCCCGACCAATCATGAAAATCGATTAACTCCATGACTGCATATTAGCCCGTTACGTCAGGGAAAAAATAGACTATAAAGTTTCCATGGAGCTTGAAGCTTACGCCTAAAAACAATCGTACACGAGGCGTACTCGATGAATACAATTAAGCAATAGGCTTTCAATCAATGAAGTATTTAATAGCCATTTAACTTCCCTTTTGCAGATTCCCATTATCTACTTTTAATAAACGATTTGAAGTTGAAAACAACGTAAGCATCAGCCCCTAATTCAATTTACCTCGACAATATTTTGTACGATTAGCTTGGTCATAATTCATTTATTCAATCATTTGAGGCCCAAAAGAATTACAAATATCAAGTGACATACCCGCTACGATTAATCACCAACATCAATAATCTAGGGTATCATAATCCATCTCGAGATCTACTTTCGCAGTAAATGTGTACATCCTCTTAAGTTAGGTACAATATTGAATACATTTCTGCACGACGTTTAGAGTATCAAGAGCAAAGCGTAAACCTCGCGCGTTTAGAGGCCAAAAAATGTCGAGCAAACTTCATTTTCAAAATGTCACTTCAATAACCCCCCTCCCCCCCCCCCCCCCCCCCCCACATTTAAAGATTGAGCATAGCAAGTCGTTAATTCCACCTCTAACCAACAAATGTTGAGAAAAGATTGATCACAATAGTTTGGATATTTATTTTTTGAAGAGGTAGTGACAACATACCTGCGGAATCATGGTGAGTGAGAAGCTGAATATCGTGTTGTTTGGCGAAATTCTCCAATTCCTCGCTCATAAGACAAGTGCTGCCAATGAAGACCTGGTTCACTTTAGGCGGAATCTGGATCAAGGAAAAGAAGGAAAGTGGATTTAGTCACAAAATCAAGAAAACAGAGATTTGCTAAAACATTTGGAATAATTTAATTCCTTCTATGGAGGCAAATAACACATTCTGAAGGCGTCTATTCCTACCAGTTAGATAAAAAGGAAAGGGAACAGAAAAGAAGATATGGCAAAGTCAAAAAACGTCCAAACATAAAGGGCTCGATTGACATGATGGTAATGGAAATGTATGAGCATGTTTCTATACCCACATGAGCTCCCGTTGCAACAGAAAACCCAACCATTTGCTATTCCGACGAACTTATGAATCAGGGTAAATCAAAGACGCCCACTATATCTTTCAACCATGGAGTTTGAAGATTCTTTAAGTCACTTTAGACTTACACTGTTTTACCTGAAGGAAGCTGATCCAGACAACGCTTACATATACTTCAACACAACGTATTATTAGATAAACAGTCGATTCAGTCAATCGGTTAATAAGCTTAAAATATAGGCGAAACACCCTCAAATGCAGAAATATGAAAGTAAGCACATCTGAGCACGACATACAATAACGCACAGTCTGATGAGCAGAGAATTCGAGCGATGTCGACTTCTCCTCGACACTCACTATTGAACTCTTATACTCACATTTAAATGTTCTCAAGAGAGTTAAAATATATGCACGTCTTGTTGCGTTGCATGCTGGCCAAATCTCAGTATAAGATATCTAAAATACCTTTTCTCCTTGCATATAAATTTTTCGATAACGCCATCTTCCAATGAAGGTTAGTTTCAAAATATTCCCCTGGTAGTTAAAGTTTCAAAAAAGATAAGCAAAATCAATCAGTAATATATGTCAAATTTCATTGATCGCTATACTATTTAGATGGTAAGAGGTCAAACTGTGATCTTGCAGAGCACGATGAGCAGCAAAATTCAAAACGATGTAAGCTGCTAAATGACCTCTTCTAAGTAATATGATTCCACAGTGGATGGGAAAAATCAATTTGTCGATGAATCAGCACCACATAGTAATAATAATTCACGTGGTCAAACATGATTCCGCGTGGCAGCTCACCTTGTAGGTTCATAAAGCAGAAGTAGGCCCGATCATCTCAACTATCAGGTGACCTGATTGTGTACGCGCTATCACATCAACCTAAACACTAGTTGTGATGATTTACTGATTAAAATCGAGAACAGCGTTTGCCGGAAACAAAGTTAAACTTCTTCAAAGCTACATTAGGAACTCTTGGTTTAAATGTTCTAAAAATTTTTAACAACTTGAGATGTCAAAAAAGGAAAAGTCATAAATTTCGTTACATGTATCCATTCCTATTCACTACACCCTTGAAGGAGACGGAGCTTCTAATTGAAAAAAATCAAAACGAGAAATTTGAAAGCCAAAATATTAATAGAGAGCCCTAACAATTGTAGATTAATACTATGATAAGGGGGGGGGGGCAATAATTGAAGTTAAGACAATTGTGAATCAGGCCTCCGATAATGATTTCAAATGGACAAAATTAAGGACTCGATGGCTTGAATGGACTCCACTACCAACCAAGCTTAATTTATGTCAAATCGAAAAACGACTGCAAAATAGAGTACGACGGAAAAATCATGCATGAAAAGTGATTCCAACGTTATTTATTGCTAAAATACCTTATTGCTATGTTTAGCCCTAGTAATAAATGTAGACGACTTAGCTAGAGAACAAAAGATAACAATAATTTAAAAACAAAACATGATGTATATCAAGACAATTGCATTGAGTTGTAAAATCAACTTCAAGTGAAAAGAATCAAGTTCAGGCAAGTTTGATAAAAGCTCTGTTGACTACGGACTCAAAGAATTTCGGTAAAAGGTTGTTAAATGGGATCACCGACATCACAATTGTGGTAATAGATAAAAGAACCTTACGGCTTGAGTCCTGCTCTCAGTAGAGCCATGCATTATTGAAAATGAAGCAGAGTTCAAGGAGGTTGATTCGGCTGTATATTAGATCAAGGTTTAAATAGCACAGAGTACAGATAGACTGAAAATTCGCATATATAGGAAATGATTTCTGAACAAATAGGATGATAATAGTAAAAGACCTCCATTTGCATATTTTTCGGAAACATAGGTAGAAACTAGTCATCCTGCATAATACGCGTGAAGTAAAATCGCAAAAAAGCCCATTTAAAACAGCATAATCCTATCTTGGATAAGTTGAAAATTAACTATAAATTATAAGAAGGCTAAAAAACTGAAGATATAATATATACTTTACAGTTTAGCAGCAAGTAATGAAGTAGGTTTTCAGCTAAAAGAATCGAGAGGTGAAGAGAGAAAACTCCAAGTCTCCTAGAGACGATATCTTCAGACACATCAGATCACGAACACTTGGTGTAATTAATGATAATGTTTATAACGAGTGAAGACAATAATAAAAGTGCAAAGGACGATAAAAATTAATTAATTAAAAATTCATCCCATTAAGGAGCCTTTTGACCAATTAAAAAACCTGACGACTGACGACTAAAATCTAGTGACTACTTCAAGCTCAAAAAAATTGCACTTCCAAAAAAATTGAAAAGAAGGCGTGGTAGTGCGGAGAGTAGGCAAATTTCATCATCGCCAATACGTCATTTATTTGGCATGAAATATTAAGAAGTGTTTAGACCACGATCAACCACTGGAGTTAAGTCAATGCATTATAATTTGAAGAAAAATAACACAATTATATCTAAAATTAAAAAATGACAGGTAAACAATATCAGAGGTCAGTAAAAGTTTAGAGGTAAAAACTGGATTGAGTAAAAAATAGGACAAATAAACTAGTTTTCACTGTAATTTAACAGTTGTGAAATGCAGTAGGGAAGTCAAGTGAATATTTAAAGCAAACATTGACGTATTCCAATAAAAAGCATTATAGGTTAATTGACTCCATAATAGGGTTTAAAAAAGGTTATGGAAACATATAAATTGAGAAGAGGATTGAAAATATAAAAATACTTACCTTAACTGAAGAGCATAGCGCCTCCATTTCTGAAACGGGCATATCACTAACGCCTAGTCTGAAAATCTTATTGGCCTCAACAAATTCTTCGAGAATTGGCCAAATTTTGAGGAGGCTCTGAGCAGTATTCTGCGGGATTCGAGCCCATGTATTTCCCATACAGGGCGGATGGTCTACGATTGCTCCCCGGGAAAGCTCTGGTGAAAGGGAGACAACCAAAGTCTCCATGTCATCAAGACCCAATCGATCAAGAGCTGTGAAATTAAGAGAATTAATTTTACACGAAGTAGGGGATGAACAAATCACAATATTTGTCACATGCTTTTATTAACAGCATCTCTGATAGCGTCATGGTCATCCGTAAAGAGAAACAATTTAGCTGACACAGTAACGCTACTTCGTTCCCAAACTGGTATCCTGTCTCGATGCTTGTCACAAGCAATACAAAGGCTGTCTTTACCCTAGGAAACAAAACTTGAATAAAGTGAGATTATTCATATATTAAGTGATTAATAAAAGAATACGTACTTTAAGATTATTTTTATTGCATGAGTGCCAACAGTGCATTACTGTTTTAATGCATGTTTCAACCTAAAAAAACAAGTTTAATTAAAATGCGAGAAAAAAATAAGAACATGAGCTGGGAAGATTCTAAAACGAATATAATTCCATTTACAAGGGTCGTGACACTACTTTAAAGTTGAATACGAGTAAAGAAGACGCAGATACGGCTTTGAAACGTTCTTAATTCATTCGTTAAATATGGATCCAATAAATTTGTACAAATTTCATTTAAACAAGAATTATGGCCGGTAAAAGCAAATTACCTCATCAAATGGATTTTTAATAAGTTGCACATTATTCCATTTCAAAATATTACTTGTATGTAGGAACAATTTCTGTGCTTTTGGTATCTCTGCCATATTCACGTTGTCACGCAATTGCCCGAGTTCGGCTATTTAAACCAGTGGAACAAACTAGTGATATCTAACACCCTATCAAATAAGAGAGATGTCTAGGTATTTCTATTGTAATCAGTGTAAACAAAATTATAAACTACCAACCCGATGCTTTAATTGCAATATATAACAAATATTTTGACATTATTTACATTTAAATTTTTATTTTTATTAATTCTGTTTCATTAGCATTTAAAGAGTATCAACTATGGCAATACTCATTGAGATGATAATTAAATGGACAAATGTAGCTTCCCAATTTGTGATAAAATTTGTTGCAAGATGCCATTCCTTTTGCTACCTGTAGCATGGACCATTAATGTTCAGAAAGATTTACTCTCCAACCCAATTCATTATCCAGACTTGGCTATCAATAACAGTTATTCCAATCAATATTTGTACAAAGATTGCCCGAACCTTACAATAACTGATTCTCAACCGAGTATTTTCCCATTTCTATTTAGTGTTTATGCGGACTTAACAAAAAGGTAGCTAACCACAATAAATCACAGAGCCTCTAGTTAAATCTCGAGGCCACTGTGGTCAGAAAAGTTAAAATACTAGAGGTTGGTCACCAACCAGATTACCATTACCAACTACTCTGGCACCTGATGACCTCAGCCATTATAATGTTGAACTTCCAGTAGCGGATGGATTCCTATAACCAAGGTGGCAACCACTCTAGATAAAGGAAGGATAGCTCTACTCATATCATACTTCGTGATCAATGGTCTTAATGATTGTATTCCTAACAATGGAACCCCCCCCCCTTCATATTATAATATGTCAATTGTTTGTTCAGCCCTAACCTTCATTCTATTTTATTTCCCCCTGCCCTTAGACTATTATCTTGGATGAGCGCGAATCGAAGCCAACTACCACACTTGAGGTAGATATTGAAAATCATCGGTCCACAACTATAGAACACTGATTTCCCTTTCTGCATATATTCAAGAATTCAGCCTAAGGACTGGAATTGATTACAATGTTTGCACCACCTATACATGGCTAAGTCAATGAAAAGGATCACTTCTCTCATGAGTCAACTACCATTGGTTTTCAAAACAACATTAATGTTCCCTTTTCAGGACCCAGTAGACAACCCCTGTAGTTATCTCGATGGTCGAATACGCAACTTTTGTCTCATTCTATAAGTCACCCAGAGGTCAATAAAACTGCCAACTCCACCCCGTCTACCTTATATTACGTATGGTTAAGTTTCGAATCCAAACAAGTAATGATGATGCTCATTTTTTGGCCTTCCAAACAGTTATAATGTGCTGATCACCCTCTTCCTACATAGCAGGCCAGATGTCCATGCTTTCACTTATTTCCTAGTCCATTTATGCGGCCATAAGTATGGGAAGACAGAACCACTTGATCTAACTTCCATAATCAGTGTTCACAACCAGAGGTCCTAGTCTTGATTTCACAAAAACAATTTAGCTGTGCTGCCAAAATATCTACCACGACTTAATAAACAAGATTACTGCCCGTTATGCCAAAGCTCTACCACCTAATACATTAAATATATTCGATAGGGAAACATTACGAAAACCTCCCGCCTAAGTAAGATCATCGGCTACCTGTACCCCATAGCGCCAAGAATATCAAACAAATACAAGCAAATCCGATTAACCTCAGGACGTTAATAGGTGTTGTATCACACCTAAGGATTCACAAAATCACGAGGCGTTGCCTACCAAGAACACAAACATCAATAAAACCCCTTACTAATAGCAAGCTTAAAACTGTATATTAAGGCGAAAGTAAATCTATACAATATAAAAACCACTTTAATCGGTGAACTAATGATTACAATAAAAGACTCAAGGGAAAGCTACAACGACCATATCAACAGTCAAAAAAGTAGGCCTACGTTTAAACATGTTAAAAGACAATGAAGAGCATATGCAACACAAGCCCAAAGGTCGGTACAAAAGGCATACGCGAAAAATCCGTTAATATGTATTATAGGACACATTTTACATTTAAGGTGAAATTTTACTTGTTAAGCTTCTTCTTAGGGCGAAGGTTGCTGTTGTGACCGCACTTCCTTTTACGGCAGTTTGTTGCTCGTGGATGAAGACGGGCATAACACTTACGGCAGATCATTTTTTCGCACTTGTACTTGATGGCCAAAGCCTTCATGGTAGGGTCCATAACACCACCACGAAGACGTAACACCAAATGAAGGGTAGATTCCTTCTGGATGTTGTAGTCCGATAGAGTACGGCCATCTTCTAGCTGTTTGCCAGCAAAGATCAAACGTTGTTGATCTGGAGGAATACCTTCCTTATCCTGAATTTTGGCCTTCACATTTTCGATGGAATCTGAAGGTTCAACTTCAAGAGTGATAGTTTTGCCAGTTAAAGTCTTAACAAAGATCTGCATATTAACGTGAAAGGCAGAATAACTCCAGTGATTGGCGCTGCTACTGCCGAACGTACCAAAACAAACAAAAACGTGTTATTAAAAAATTGTCAAGTTAAAAAATAATAAAATGGAAAGCGGTAATAGATTATTGAGAAAAAGTTTTTATTTAAAATTTCTATTTAAAAAATATCGTATCAAAAACTAATAAATTATTTTGAAGTTTATTTGCATTTTCGTTATTCAATATTTCCTCCGAGATATTTACCATTACAACAATAGAACAACTCATTCTTATGTTTTGCAAATACATACAAGGGCGAATATTATCTTTTCTGAATAATATCCCAATGCCTTTGAACATTTGTTCTCTAAATTACTCTGGATTGCGTTTACTTGTTGTAACATGTAAAATTGCTTTTTATAAAAAATGCTCATTTATTTTAACAGTGATATATTCTTCATCCTGTAATTTTGACATATCTTCTTAAGGAAAATGTATTTATGCCTTAACCGGTTTATAAGATTAATGTTCTTTCCTATTTGTGATATAATAATTAGGGTATTATGAAGAATTTCTTGATGAATGTTAGGTAGAATTTAACATAATATTCGTGAATAGTTATAATACAATATTAATATCTTAAGTTTTACACAGGCTTTTTTGATAATAATTTTGATCTACCATTAAAGAGATTCTGTGCAATGGGATTCTATTTACGAATGCCAATTCAAGCTTAAGAAGACACTTATATTTAATAACTTGCACGTGACTTGTAGTAAACATAGTTATGTGTGGATTTCTTTTTGACATGCTCACAATTTATTCATAATGCAATTTAGCAAATGGTTTCAAACCTTTTTTCAAAAATTCCTTGCATATGATCAAATAGCTGAAGAATTAGATAAGTTTATAGTATCTTTCTTAAATTTGTTTTCTGCCTTTCTTAATTAAACACCTATCTTAACTAAACAGGCTTAGTAAAAATATTATTATAATTTAGATCTTCAAAAACTATTAACTTTAAGCTCAAACCAACCATTAGAATCTACTTATAGTTAAATATTTATATCTAAGGAATTTCTACTAACTCAGAATTTATGTTGGTAAATCAAGTTCAATATAATATTTCAGGCAGCTAAAGCTGCTCTTGGTATTTAAACGATCAAATCATGAATATATGCCGATAAATAGTGCCATTTTGGAACAATTGGGGCTAACTCTTAGCTTATTTTGATTTAATTTATTCTTTTGAACTTTAATTTAAACTTCGGTTACATTGTTAGAATGGTCGTTTGTTTTGGCAGGTAATTGACATCGTTGGAAATGAGTAAGGACGTGGCTTCTGCCGCTTGTACTGAAATTACTATCAATAAGTGGGATGTCAATGCAGCTAAACATGCCCTAGATGATGCAACCAAAGAGGTATGGATATAAAATGCAAACATATTTGCAGGTTATGAAAAATCACTTTGAACTACAAGAAAATTTTAAGCTCATTGATATAAGGTTGCTACTTTGCACACTGTCTGTTCTTTTTACAATTGTCGCTTTTATATATGATTATGTTTGTCCATATCCGCAATCTCGATATGTGTTGATGGGTTGCATTGCATCGTAATTTCTTGTACTATATTTTTAATTCAACTCTTAGATATTTTGTTACCACCACTATTCTTTCTTGGCACACCTTCTATGTCGAAGGTAGTATCTTCTATGTTGGAATGCAATCCGACAAAGCTGGTCTCGATCCTCCAAACAGGTGGACGTTTGCCTCTCAAATTAAGAAGTAAATCTGCTCGCTTTGCTTTTACTTTTGTCCGAATTTAGGTACTCTCCTGAATATCGACTAACATTAACCTATCTTGATGGAGCAACTAAAGAGCAAACAAAAATGGAATTTGTCAAGACCATCGATTGTTTCTTTGATGAGAAGGGCAAAATTTGCTTTCTTAAACTTCAGAACTACATTCTTGATATTTGCAAAGTTGTAGCCTCCAAGAAGAAAAATTAGTATTTGTTGTGTCTGTGTGTTAACAAATGCTACAACTGTGGCTTTGATATTGTTTTCCGTAATCCATTGTTATTCTCTTCTGGAAATACATCTTTTTTATCCAGCAATTCGTTAATTTTGATTCCCTTCGTTCTAATTAATCGGTTGTTAAATTTATTTGGTTGTGTCTGTATTTTGTTATTAAATGTTCTTGTTGCTTATTCTCATGCTAATCTTTATTGATTCTCAGAAGAATTGGAATTTTTAAAGTAGTTGTGTAGGGGGGGGGGAGGGGGTATTCACTATTCAGGTGCCTCACCAGAATTTTTACTTATAGATTATGTGTTGCACGGATGTTGAAGAAAAGCACAGTCCATGGTTTCGTTAGTGCTAGAACCAGTGTGGGTGTCACAATTTAAATGAAAATAGTTTTTTTTAAAGAACGTCAATAGATTCATCAACGAGAGATCTCAGCCGGTGGCTCAAATTCTTGTTTTTTCCACTTTTCATTCACTCCTCTCTTAATTTCATTCAACAAAACATAGTATAAGCCTCTTCGTTTAGACGCATCATTGAAACTGGTTTTTCATTTAGCCTATTTAGATCTACAGTTTTTGGACCCCTTGGGAAATGAATCGCCTAAAAATAATGGAAATAAAGCAAAGGCGGCACGAAGAGAGACGCCAGAAAGCCCTAGTTAATGGTGCCCTTCGGAGTCCCATCGGACGTCCGATCGCATACATTCTCGGTAAGCTTTGCCTGATATTAGAGATTATCGTTGAGTTTTGTGAAATAACCTAAAACGCGTTGTCCACAGACAAACAGAATCGTCTTTTGCACCATGCAAGTAATAGGCATCATCGAAATTCTGAATCGAAAATTCGAATAAATCGAGTGGAAAGAGTGAGTCTTACTCTTCTTCCCACTGGGTATAAAGCCTCTAGGATGGTTTACAAGTGAGTTCAAATATTTTGATTTTAGAGGTTGTTTATGCCGATAGTAATGAACTCTTGCGGTCATTATATTGGCACAGAAACGTTTTCTACTTAATTAATTTAAGTAGAAAGATGTTTAAACATTTTTCAGGGGTGCCTTTCCAAATAATGAAGCCTCTGAATTTTCGCATTTAAATTTTCCTGTTCTTCCACAACAGCCAACGGGACCCCTTCTACCTAATAGAAAAAAGCCATCTACTGGAGGAGGTAAAGCAATTTTAGAATCCTTATTGCTACTTTCTATTTGGACTATGGTTTATGAATTGAGGTGTTTTTTAATGGACCGTAAAAAATCACGGCTTATGTTGTTTTAATAATACGTATAGTTTACCAATAACAAGATGTCGAAGAGGATTATAAGAATGTGCTTGATTTTCGTTGTGCGGTAACTAAAACCATTCTGCTTTAATAATTTGATATTAAACATAAAAGAACTGAAGGAATTTTTCGCTGACTTGGGTTTCTATGTTTACAAAAGCCTAATTTGAGAGGTAGTAGCCCGAGATCAGTATAATCAGGTGCATTAATTAGCCCATCTTCAAATATGATGTTCTTCAATATTTCAATTAACAACGCAAGCAACATTGGTAAAAATGCTGAGTTAAAATGCGTCGTAGAATTAAAGCCAGAATACGTTTTCAGCAACAGTTCGCTTTAGGAGCAGCAGATATATTGACAAAAAGGCGCATTTGACAGTTCGCCCCACTTCTTTCTAAGCGGATTGAATAGCAATTTGCAATTTTCTACTTCTTGCCGCAGAATTCCCCTATTGTATGAAAGTTGGCGTTCATTCATTAAAAGAAATGTACTTTGTGGTAGAGGATAGTAACTTCTATCAATCATATCTTTGATAGTTTAGCGATTATTGTTAATGGCTCATTTGCTTAGCCGCATAATCGATAGGGCTAATAGTTGTGCTATAGAAAATACTAATTAGTAATAGCTTGCAGCACGTTTACCTAAAATAATCATATATTTTTCACAGAAGTGCCTACACAACCTCTCAACGATGCCGAAAAACGTGATCGATTGTTCATCAAAGCCGTTGAGATAATCTCCGAGTGGACGGCAGAGGAGCCCAACTTTATTGATCCCGAGGCTGCTTATGGCGATAAGAATTTTCGATTTATGGACTCAGTGAAGGTACGCTTGCGGGCTTTCAAGGCAACGATCAGCCCGAATATGATGAAGATTCTAGAGAATGCTAGCATAAGGTGCAAACGAACACCTCGAAATGATACCGAAATCGTGAGATATAACAAAGCCACTGACAAAACCCATATAAATAGCAAACAATGCACTCCAACCGGCAATGCACACCCGAAAGTAAGTTTAGTTGACCAAATGAGTTCATTTTTATGTTTAACCATGCACACTTAGTTCTTCATAGAACCCTCTTTTTAAAAAAATTTACGCTCACTGAACCCGTATGGCTTTAAGGTGTTTTGGGGGTATAATGCATGAAATGTCAGTAGTTAAAAAGGATAAATTGCAAACTGGGCTATTCAAATAGTTATTCGTGCAGGTAGTTGTTTGTAACTGAATGTTGCCAACTTTCTCTTCTTCTCCAGGTTAAAGTGCAAAATAGACACTATATCTTATCGTCTGTTGGCAAACACTGTCTCAAAATCACCATTTATTATCATTTATTTATTTGACCCATAGCTTTTAAGCATAAGTAAATAGCTGTCTAACTGCAGTTTATGCATTTTAAGCCATATCCCCCCCTCCCCTCCCCTCCCTATTTTTTTTTCTCAGGGTTTTTATTACACTGAAGTAGGGTAATGAATGAAATGGGTTGGTGTAAGCATGCGGACTGGTAAAAATGCAAGTTGGGATTTAGAAAAGGAGCACGAAGGTTGAAATAACCAGATGTCGATATTTGCATAATTTATGAATGATGGAGAGGAGGGCATCAACGGTTGTATACAAGATGCATGCACTTTTAAGAATAATATAAACAGTTGGTTGGGTAAGAGAAATGGGAAATTGAAGGAAATTTAAATTTGCCAACACACTCTAATGTAACGCAGGAGAAATTTATGCATTTCATGCTTATCATGGGCAGTGGAATTCGGATGGTACTTCTGCAGAGGGGCTTGAAATTAAATAATGATAGTAAGTTACTTATTAGACTTCCTAAATATTGATTAGCTAAAGTTACTGAGAATCAAGAAGAAAATGGGAAACACTGAGAATTTATTGCTCACGAACATCATGTGTATTTCTGAGGTACATGCGCTTGTCCGTATGGTAAAAATACACAAGTAAATAAATTTCCGTGCAAATTCCGCTTATCTCAATATATTGTAACCTCTATAGATCAGCTAATTTAGTGAAATAGATTGACAATGAAAAAAACTTCTGTGTACACACATTTTATGTGAAAGCGGTTTGAAAAGAACTACTAGACAACAAAATGATCTAAAAAGTGGAATATAATTATACATAGCTTGCAGGTCTGCAGTTGTGTCTTATTTAAGCGATTAAATACCTAACTTATAGTTCACCTTACTACGGCTTCAAATTGGTTAGCTCTAATCATTCTCCTAGGCGTCTTAGCTACTTGGGTGGGGGGAATTTAGGGTGATTAACCTACCAATCTATTGAAAAAATGGGAAATAAGCCTCGGAAAATTCGAGCATCAATTCTGTCAGGGTAGTGAGAAAAAAGCCTTAAGTATTGATTTGTAATATTAAAATCCAAGAACAAAAGATGTTTGACGTGAAATGAAGGATAAAAATTCCTGATCTTGATTCGTATCCGACTGCTTTATTATTTACCGTGATGAAAAAGGATTTTGCATTATCATAATATACAAAAATATATCGCTCACCATATTCTAGACCCAATCGGCGATAATGCCCAGAAAGAGCACTTTCGTTCAAACCCTTTCATCACCTGCACATTACAGGGAAGATTCTTGTCCTGAAATTCAATTTAGGCCTGGAAATAATGAGGATCATTTGCCAAGAATTAGTCCAGCCGTAATGAGAAATCGAACTAAACCAATAATCGATCCGGAAATACAACCTTGTCAAACATATCAGCAAGAGATGTCAATCATAGAGAGAACAATACCACCTCGATGCTTTGAAGAAGTGCCTGGTTGCAGTAGAAGACTTTACCACGATTCAGATAGTCAGAACTGTTATATCAATCGAAACTACTGGGAACCTTCACCACGATACCGTTGTAATATGAGAAGCTATGATGTGGATTTAGACTCTCATTCATCTTCAAGATGGCCACCCTATAGGGGGTTGGATATTGAGCATCCAGAGGCTATTTCACATCGAATTAATAAGCCGTGTGGCTTAGAGGAAGAAAAAGAAGAAGATGCCTCATTGACGGCCAGTCTTCTTCATCCGATTTGGGATACACCAGAGGAATGCAAAATGCAGTGGTCAAATTTTATGCTATTGGAGTGATTTTCTATAAAATTATTTCCCCCGTTTGGTTGGAACTTGCGTTTTTTTCATGATGTCTACCACTTTATACCTAATTATGTTATTCTGTTGTATTTCATGGCCTTTTGAAGAAAGCTGTTTCATTAAAGAAAATTTGTTAATTCGTGTGTTTTTGATTAGAGTAAAAAGGAATGAGGAAATTGCTATCATGTACGAAATGTTTTGCTAGCTGCTTATTCACACTTGATGCATGCTAATGGATCATGAACTACAGTATTTTGACTTTATTAGGATTGAGGAAAAACACGGGAAGGTGTTTAATTTAAAAGGAGCGCCAAAACAAATCTTTTCGGTAAAAGTTTGAAAATAATTAGATTATTTTAAGTGTGGAGATATAGTATTAGGTTTCCGACCAATTGATGATGGGTAGGAATACCTACATTTAACGAAAAATATAGAAAGCAAATTCGGCACACAGTCAAGTTCTCGAATGCAAATTGGCAACTTAACCTCATATTGAGTAAATAATTGCACTATTATTTAGGATTGTTTACTTTAGTAGGGTGATGCATAGCTTTAGTCGAAATTTGAAAGGATTCATAATATCAGGAACGAACCACTCAAGGTCGCTTTGATTTTCCCATTGGCTGGAATACTCAGGGGAGTTTTCTTTTCAAATTCTCTTTGCTATTTTTGTGAACTTAGGCACTTCTGCTCGAAAGGCCTTAAGGAATTACATTAACGACAAATTCGTCAAAATTCTCTTTTATTCTCTTAAATGCATAGTCATACAGTTATTACCTCAGAACCCTTTTCCTAAATTATCCCAATTTAGCGGGAGATGACCTCACCTATTTTATTTAAAGATAGCGCTGTAGTTTTATTAACCAACACTTTTTGCATGAAAGACGGTGATTAAAAAACAGTCAAGCAAAAATGGCGCCTCCGTTTCAATTTGCCTTTATTTAACGGGTGAGTCCATTTCAAAGTGCGAACATGATAAGCGTCAATTGGTTTTCAATATTTATTTATTTATATTTCCTTTCACCTAATGACTTTAAAGCAGTATGGTAAAGGCAGCAATGGTTTAGGCTCAGAAAACGAATTGGCGTCTATTAATTTTTTTAGCATACACAGGCAAATGTTAATCGTGCTGCTAAACATAAATTTTCAAAGGAATAAAAAAAGAACACAACTTCTACATTCTGATCGTCACATTTCGCATTTTGTTAAGAGGCTGAATTTTTGCTGTTCGACTGAGAAGACAACAGTTTGGTACTTTGTCCAATGAAACAAAATGAGCTCTCTATAGACATGCAATATTTTTTAAGGCAAAATTATTGCTTCTCAAAACTCCTGAATGACTCAGAAAATTATCGACACTTTGTTGAATTTTAAATACCCCTGGGTTGTAGTTAAAATTCCATTGAAGGTGAAGGTATGAGCTCAAAATGCTCTAAAATACCCTATACACGAGTTCATTTGGAGTGGGCCAATAAAAACTACATTCAAAATTTCAAAATTTATACACTTGGATAAAAATGCCAAGACGGTAAATCCCAATGTGGATGACAGTGATATCTTCTGCATTTTGCGATCCAAAAGAGAGAGAGAGAGATAATGTCATTATATCCAATTACTTGAATACTTCTGACATATTAAGGTAACCTTGTAAACTTAACTCAATATTGCAGACAAAAACAGAATTGTGGGGATTGCTTCGCTAATTGGCATTGACTTATGCTCAGTAATCTCTATAGCAAAAACTTCCAGTTCGGAATGGTTCCAAGTACTAGCTAAGCTTCCTCAAAGCTATAGAGGAGGGTGGGGGGGGGGGGGGGGGGGGGGGGGGGGGACGTATGACGTGAAATACGTTTACTTTCACTGTGTGTCACTGACACGGAGTTTAGTCATTGAAATACAATGAAGAGTTTGTTATACTATACAGAGACTATTGATTGGTGTTTATGAGATTTTTTGCTCAGCCTTGACAGCGTTGTGCACTCCACAGAATTCAATGTGTGGGCCTAAAAGTGGGTCAGTATACACCACAGATATTCTTTAATGTATATATTAGAGACCAATCTGCACAAAAGTAAGTTATCTCGAAGTTTTTAAGGAAGTCATTAACTTGTCTTGAAAGATTTTTTCTGTGCTGTTAACACGGATTTACTTTATTTACTTTACTTTATTTTTTTATTTTTCATTCGCATTATTTTAACTAAATTCTAAGAAGCGAAATTAGCTTTAAATGACAGGAGAAAAAAAAACTGTAAAATGATAATAAGACCAAAAAAAGGCGCCAATTAAGACCAACCTCCTTTTCAACAGTAAATAGCAAAATACTTGAAGCTAAGAAGCATTCCGATTTTCACAAATAACAGCTAATTACATTGCTTCTTCCGAGTGCTTAGTGGACTTCTCATTCTTGTCATATGATGAATCAAGCACAATTGGGGCTGTTGTTAAAGAAAAACACAGTGCTCAATAATATTTACAAACTTTTAACTTAACAAGTGCTTTTTCATCACGTATGCAGGCTGAAAGAACCGGCTTAGTCAGAGAAACTCAAATTTTCCAGAATCATGGCATCTTTCAACACAATTCAAAATTTATTCTAAATGTTATATGTTGCATTAATTCTATTGAATTTGAATATTTTTATTTTGGGCAACGTAAACTCATACGGCAAAAAAGTCTATTTATCGGCAGTTGACTTCTCCCTTCAAACTACCATCACCCCACTGTATTTCATGTTCGACTACTTTCACAATACTCACCTCACCTTTTTTCTACCGTTGTGCCTGTCTCTTTTACATCTTTGAAACACCCTTCCATTCAACTCCCCCCCCCCTCTCGACTTTTTCACGTTGATGTTCCTTCCCCTCTGTGAAGCCTGAAGTCAACTAAAGGACTAATGACTACTATCATAAAGCCTGCCATTTGCTACTATGTATCAGGTGCTTGATGACTAATTGCTTAATTTTGATTACTGATTTTATTATTTCAGCTCATGTTTCCATTCAAAGGCTTTGAAGCCGGTTTAATCTGCTAACATCTTGAGCAACTTATACGATTTTGACTTAGCGGAGCTGGTATAGTTAAAAAGAATTTTTTGACAAAATTCGCACTTAAGGAACTCCGAAGAGCAGATATATATGAAAAAGATTCAAATGAATCATTAAGGATAATTGAATTTAAACCGACCGCACAACTGACCAATAAGCTTCAAATGTCGAGGACACAAATTTTGGAGCATTGAAGCATTACAGTTTGTGAATCAAATTATTTATGAGAAAGTGGACAAAATACGAGCAGAATTCAGGTTAATCAAGACTTTTACTGTTACCATTTCACTACCTGTTTCTGGTTCTCCATCACGTATTGGGCTCTCCTCCTTTTCCCCTTGTTCCCGTACCTGCTCACGCTTGGAACTTGGACTCTTTATTTAACTTGATGAACGGTATTAGTTAATTTTATTAAGTTAGTTTTTAGGTTGGTAGGCGCAATATTATTTTTAAAACGCTGTGATGAAATAAAGGCATTAATTGCCTAAAAGGAAAAACCTGACCTTGTAACTAATTATCGGGAAGACTTGCTTAGAGATGCGAAGCTCCTGTTGGCTAGAGTTGACCTCAAAAGTTCTAATGAAATTTTATGATTTACCTCAGGAGAACCTACGCGATGTCAACTCAAAGGGCAGAATCATTCTTGCACAATCCTAATGCAAATTATATATTTTTGAAATCTTCAGAAAGGTAGAAAATAAGCAAATTTATCACGATAAGTTCTTCCTTTGGTCTGCCAACAACGTGAAATTGAAAATCACTATGACCTTAAAAAAATAATAAGGAATTTTAAATCTAAAAATTTGAATTGCCATTCTTTTGAAAAATACTAATTTTTATTTAAAATGAACATATATTCATAAAAGATCTCTATAAAGACCTGAATTTTATCGTAACCTCCAGGAAATGCAGCGTGTCATTCAATTGAAAGGATATATTAGTTGAAATTGAAGTCAAAATTCTAAGAAACTAATTATGTTTATAATTAAATATTGTTATTTTTTTATTGTATGCCTCAAAAACTGTATTTAATATCAGCAAGGGTAGGTAACCAGGCAAATTTAATTCTAGAGAAAGATAAACGGACATGAGGACATCAGATCATTTATCATAACTGAGTCATTATGCAGGTGTTATTAGAATGCACGTGGAGTTTTCGGCGTCAGATAAGCTGAAAAGATACCACCATAATTTGCCAACTTGAGGAACAACGATAGATCAAAAGAACAGTGAAACATTTTTTGCCATACACGTGATTTTCACCATGATGTGACGGACAAGCCATCATTAGGTTAGGCCATATCAGAGCTGGTCACGGAATGACGAAGTTAACCACCTTTTTTCAGTTTTCCGTTGTCCGTCTAGCTGTGTCAGCCATATCCATCATGAAAACCAATTAACATTAATAATTGACTCAATATTTTACGAACAGGGGTGTGGCATAGACTTACCTCTACGTGGCGCACCCTGGGCAACGTATAATCATACGGCAAAAAAGTCTATTAATCGGCAGTTGACTTCTCACTTCAAACAACCATCACCCTCACTGTATGTCATATTCGAACATTTCCACATTATTCACCTCACCTTTTCTCTGCCTTTGTGTCTGTCTGTCTCTTTTACATCTGTGAATCACTCTTCTATTCTCCCTCCCGAATTCTTCTCACCTTGATGTTTCTCCTCCCCTCTGTGAAAGACGAAGTCAACTAAAGGACTAATGATAACTATCAAAACGCCTGCCATTTGTTATAACTAAATATTTTCGACCAATCACAACATAATTAGTAAAGATAGTTTCGGAACGATGTAAATTATTGACAAAATTCTGTCCTCCATTCTGGTCTTAGAAATAAATTAAGTGTCCTATCTATTGAAGAAGAAATGGACTGTTAACAACACACTATATATTTACTTTACATACCATCCAGAAGTTTGCTGAATGTGAATTGTAAT